TAAATATTATCTCATTTTTGGTCCTACATTAGTTTACTTACGACGCATTTTTACGTACAAAAACATAGGGTGTAACAAGATTGCAAACTTTAAGGAGGGATGATGAATGGGATTTGTTTGTTGATAAAGTATTTATATTTTATATCAAGCATGATATTTTGGTGCCTAATTTTGATGATCTATATGTTAACTCTGGAAGATCACTTGCGAAAACCTGCTGATTATACTGTCTTTCATCATTATCGTGTTGATGTGTTTTGTAAAGTTCTTGATTGGCAATTTCAAGGAATTAATGATCGTTTTGACGAAGTGACAACTGATTTGCTTCATGGAGTTGGTTGTTTGAATCCAATTGACTCATTTTCAAGTTTTGATATCAAAAAAATAATGAAGATGGTTGAATTGTATCCTGATGACTTTGATGAATTTCAGATGAGTGCTTTTGAGAATCCACTTGCGAGTTACATTATTAATGTTTGTGATTTTGATGAAAGATTCTCCAATCTAAATGGGCTTTCTGATCTTTCAAAAAGATTAGTTAAGACAAAGAAGCATTCAGTTTATCCTCTTGTATTCCTCTTAGTGAAACTTGCGTTGCTTCTGCCTGTTGCCACTGCAACTGTTGAAAGAGCTTTTCTCAGCAATGAAGTTTATCAAGAATGACTTGCGGAATCGAATGGATGATGACTTTTTAGGCGGTTGCATAGTACCTTATGTAGAAAGAGAAGTATTTAGTATTGTTTCTAATGAGTCTATTATAAAAAAAATTCAAGAGATGAAACCTCTACGAGTACAATTGTAATAAGTAGAATCTCTTTTCGATGCTTCTTTATATTAGTTTGGATTTATCCAATTATTCGTACTATTACCCGTATTTTTATAATTTAGCTCGATATCACGTTGTTTGATTTAAATTTTTCGGTGCACCGACTTGTTGAGAATTTTTTTTCTTGTTCAAGTTTGAACATCCTTGAAATATTTTCTAGCTTCGCCACTGATAGCAATTCAAGGAAATTGACTCTGTTTAAGTTTGCGAAACACAGAAAATCGAGTAAGGAATTCTGTTAACCCGAGAGAAGGTGTGAGGCACTCCCGAGTTCCGTGGTTCTACCACGGTCGCTTTAATAATCATACCTGGGTTAACTAATTCTGCATATTTTATGTTCTAGGAAAATTTATGCACTTTTGCCTTAAACCGCTTTTAATTGCTTGATTATTTGTAATTATGGAATTATCTTGAAACGAATCACGCATACGTGTATTCGTTTTGTTTGGCGTGTCATGAATCATGTCACGCGTACGTGTACACAATTAATAACACTTTATTATTATTAAGATTATTTCGCCCAAAGTTGCGCGAACGCATACCTTGATTTTAATTTTGAAAATCATATTTATGTCACGCGAACGTATACATAATCACGATAATTTGATTAATTAAGAGCGCCACCTAAAGCATGCTATCGTATTCATGATTGTTCATTTCCTAAGTTTGAGATTATTGTGAAAGTTCAAAATTATGAAATGGATTTATGGAGAAGTATGGAACTTAATTACTAGGATTATTTACAAAAAGAGTTACTCTACTAAGTTATAAAAAATATTTGCCACTATTATTATGGGAGAAATATGAGCTAGCTTATGAATTTTATTATCATGGGCCTGGCCGAATCTTATCATTTAGCCCATTTATCTATGTCCAAACCTACGTTTACTTCTAGCTAAACTATACAGCCCATTAATCAACAACGAAAACTTCTCATAATATATTGAAACTTAATTGGCATGTAACTTATCATTATTGAAGTTTTTCAACATAAAAAAGCATTTCTAATTGGCCATTAAACTTATCTAGGCAACGAATCCNTAAACTTATCTAGGCAACGAATCTATCTAAACAGTATAGAAACCAATAATCAGAAGGAGCAATGAGAATAAACTATCCAAATCCAGGCTCATGTTTTATAAAGTCAGAAGCAAATATAAATAAATAAGACACTAAAATCAAATCGCGATGAAAAAGAGAAGGCACACATACAATAGCTGAATAACTCGAAGAAACAATATTATATTTTAGTTCACCAACATAAAATGAAACACTATAGAATTGGACCTTAATGAAGCTATTCAAAGCACATTCTTTGTCTAGAAAAACTGTATTGTGAACAGGAACTAGGACCTCAAACGGAAACCTCCAACCGGTGACCTCGATGCCAACGAACTCAACTTTCGGAGCTGCTGTTTTTGTGCGAAAAAGGGATGTTTTCTGTGTTTTCGATGGAGTTTTTCGGCTGGTTTTTATGGAGGAAACAGAGATGATTTTGTGTGAGCAAAAATCAAGATGATGCCTAAGGTTTGCCTAATTGTCTCCTCCCTCCCTTTTCAAGATGTCAATTATATATAAATATACGTGGGTTATAGTAATTGATGTGAGGAAGTAGTGCTGAGTGGGGGAAGTGGGGAAAGGGACGTGAAGGAGAGGGGAGTTTAGCAAAAAAATGGGAAGTTAGGGGATTGGGGACGTGAGTGTTTAGGTAGTTTTTGGAGAAATCTTTTACTTCCTTTTTTTTAATAGATTTTTTTGTTCTTTTTGTTATTGACTTTTGTTTATATATATATAAGAAATAAAGAAAAGAGAGTAAATGTAACTAAAAATATTAGCCAACTACTTTGAGACATAAATATCATATACATAAGAAAACTAAATATTTACACTATAGTTAAATTATACTAACTAAAAT